TATACACGTTATATATATTTTAAAATTATTAGGCGATGCTGTGTGCACCAGCTTTGGTTGCTCACTCAGTACTGAGGCTCTCACACCCGGGAATGTGGCCCACGATTTTTTTTAAAGATGGCGTCTGTTTACAAGAGCTCTGAGGAAGCTAATGTGAACCCCATGTAGCCGCGGGAGTTTTGAATGGAAAGCTAAAAATATAAATACCTGGAGGCGCGTTGCGCACCCCTGTCGAGGGCCTGCAGGCGCGTTGCGCAGTTTAGGGGTTAATAAGGCAATTAGCATTGTTAACGTTTGTGATGCTAGAACATAGAGGACCAGTACTCACTCAACATACAGCTGTGATGAACTTTGGTGGAGACACCAGATCGTCAGTCTCGCTCTCTCTGTAATGCCTGCCAATGGGCTAGACACCTGTCAGGTCTGAGACTGCAGGACACACACCGTTTCAATCACTTTGTCTCCGGCTTTTATGTCACTCGATCCTTCCTGTTTTCATTGGATTAATAGACCTGAAACTGGTACCTTCTCAGTAAAGAGATTAGCCCGCCAACGTTGGAAGCTATCCGAGGTGGGTGTTTACGTGACCCTACCTCACCTCCCTGGATCAGAGTGGTAGAGAGGTCAACCTGCAGCACTCCACTTAGGTCACCTCCACAACTGTTACAGTATGTTCAGCTTGAGAGAGTGTCTAACATCAGACTGTCTACCCTGACCGCATGTTTACCTGACAGTGGCTCCAGCCTGAAAGCTTGCCTAGCCTGAAAACTGAACTCTCGTGACAGCCTGTCTAGCCTTACAGTGAATCCAGCCTATCAAGCATAACAACCTGTGTATCCAGACAGCTTGTCTATCATAACAGCCTATCATGACAACCTGTGTAGCCTGACAGCATGTCTATCATTACAGCCTCTTTAGCCTGACAGTATGTCTATCATTACAGCCTCTCTAGCCTAACAGTATGTCTAGCCTGACAGTAGGTCTAGCCCTAACAGCATGTCTAGCCTGACAGTATGTCTATCATTACAGCCTCTCTAGCTTGACAGTATGTCTCATTACAGCCTCTTTAGCCTAATAGCATGTCTAGCCTGACAGCTTATTTAGCCTGACAGCATGTCTATTGTGACAGCCTATCATGGCAGCCTGACATCTTGACAGCATGTCTTGCCAGAATATGGTCTGAAAGGGTAGTCTTTCTCACGTGGTACTCATATTTTTGGAGACCACTTTAAACCTCCTTTCTTCTCAAAGATCATTATTGAAGGGTTTTCTCTTAGATTTTTTTACTGTACAAGCTATAACTAACAAATTACTTGCATTTTAGCAGACATCATGCACAGATGCTCATCACATTTTACCGATATAACGAGTGCCACACCATGAACCAATGCTGCACCATGAAGCAGAGGCACACCATGAAGCAGAGGCACACCATGAAGTGCTGCACCATGAACCAGGGCCACACCATGAACCAGCGCCGCACCATCAACCAGCGCCGCACCATGAACCAGTGCCACACCATCAACCAGTGCCAGACAATGAACCAGTTCTACACCGTGAATCAGTGCTGCATCATGATCTAGTGCTGCACCATGATCCAGTGCCACACCATGAACCAGTGCCACACCATGAACCAGTGCCACACCATGAACCAGTGCTGCACCATGAACCAGTGCCACACCATGAACCAGTGCCACACCATGAACCAGTGCCATGAACCAGTGCCACACCATGAACCAGTGTCACACCATGAACCAGTTCCACACCATGAACCAGTGCTGCACCATGAACCAGTGTCGCACCATGAACCAGTGCCGCACCATGAACCAGTGTGCACCATGAACCAGTACCTCACCATGAACCAGTGCAACACCATGAACCAGTGCCACACCATAAACCAGTGCCACACCATAAACCAGTGCCACACCATGAACCAGTGCCACACCATGAACCAGTGTCACACCATGAACCAGTGTCACACCATGAACCAGTGCCACACCATGAACCAGTGCCACACCATGAACCAGTGCTGCAACATGAACCAGTGACACACCATGAACCAGTGTCACACCATGAAACAGTGTCGCACCATGATCCAGTGCTGCACCATGAACCAGTGTCACACCATGAACCAGTGTCACACCATGAACCAGTGCCGCACCATAAACCAGTGTCACACCATGAACCAGTGTCACACCATGAACCAGTGCTGCACCATGAAACAGTGTCACACCATGAACCAGTGCCACACCATGAACCAGTGCCACACCATGAACCAGTGCTGCACCATGAACCAGTGCTGCACCATGAACCAGTGACACACCATAAACCAGTGACACACCATGAACCAGTGCTGCACCATGAACCAGTGTCACACCATGAACCAGTGTCACACCATGAACCAGTGCCACACCATGAACCAGTGCTGCACCATGATCCAGTGCTGCACCATGAACCAGTGCTGCACCATGAACCAGTGTCACACCATGAACCAGTGTCACACCATGAACCAGTGCCACACCATGAACCAGTGCTGCACCATGAACCAGTGCTGCACCATGAACCAGTGCTGCACCATGAACCAGTGCTGCACCATGAACCAGTGCTGCACCATGAACCAGTGCTGCACCATGAACCAGTGCTGCACCATGATCCAGTGTGCACCATGAACCAGTGCTGCACCATGAACCAGTGCCACAACATGAACCAGTGCCGCACCATGAACCAGTGCTGCACCATGAACCAGTGCCACACCATGAACCAGTGCTGCACCATGAACCAGTGCCACACCATGAACCAGTGCTGCACCATGAACCAGTGCTGCACCATGAACCAGTGCCACACCATGAACCAGTGCTGCACCATGAACCAGTGTCACACCATGAACCAGTGCCACACCATGAACCAGTGCCACACCATGAACCAGTGCCACACCATGAACCAGTGCCGCACCATGAACCAGTGTCACACCATGAACCAGTGCTGCACCATGAACCAGTGCTGCACCATGAACCAGTGCCACACCATCTTGAGGTTATCTTGAGATGATTTCGGGGCTTTAGTGTCCCCGCAGCCCGGTTCTCGACCACGCCTCCACCCCCAGGAAGCAGCCCGTGACAGCTGACTAACACCCAGGTACCTATTTTATTGCTAGGTAACAGGGACATAGGGTGAAAGAAACTCTGCCCATTGTTTCTTGCCAGCTCCCGGGATCGAACCCGGAACCACAGGATCACAAGTCCAGTGTGCTGTCCGCTCGGCCAACCAGCTCCCCCATACCAACCATGAACCAGTGTGCACCATGAACCAGTGCCACACCATGAACCAGTGCTGCATCATGAACCAGTGCCTCACCATGAATCAGTGCCACACCATGAACCAGTGCCACACCATGAACCAGTGCTGCATCATGAACCAGTGCCTCACCATGAATCAGTGCCACACCATGAACCAGTGCCACACCATGAACCAGTGCCACACATTGAACTAGTGTCACACTATGAACCAGTGCAGCATGAACTAGTGCCGCACCATGAACCAAAATAGATGTTGTGGTGCCTCTTCACCTCTCGCTCTCACTACAATACTGTAATCCTATCTGCTGAGAGTGGTGCAAACAACTGTTTGCACGAGGTCAAAGTAATCTTTCCTGCTACACAATGTCGCTCGAACTGCTCGCAGAAGGTCAAAGTATCCTTAACTGCTCCACAATGTCACCTCCAACAGCTCGCACAAGGCCAAAGTAACCTTACCTGTTCCACAATGTCACCTCCAACAGCTCGCACAAGGCCAAAGTAACCTTACCTGTTCCACAATGTCACCTCCAACAGCTCACACAAGGCCAAAGTAACCTTACCTGTTCCACAATGTCACCTCCAACTGCTCGCACGAGGTCAAAGTAACCTTACCTGCTCCACAATGTCACCTCCAACTGCTCGCACGAGGTCAAAGTAACCTTACCTGTTCCACAATGTCACCTCCAACTGCTCGCACGAGGTCAAAGTAACCTTACCTGCTCCACAATGTCACCTCCAACAGCTCACACAAGGCCAAAGTAACCTTACCTGCTCCACAATGTCACCTCCAACAGCTCACACAAGGCCAAAGTAACCTTACCTGCTCCACAATGTCACCTCCAACAGCTCACACAAGGCCAAAGTAACCTTACCTGCTCCACAATGTCACCTCCAACAGCTCACATAAGGCCAAAGTAACCTTACCTGTTCCACAATGTCACCTCCAACTGCTCGCACGAGGTCAAAGTAACCTTACCTGCTCCACAATGTCACCTCCAACAGCTCGCACAAGGCCAAAGTAACCTTACCTGCTCCACAATGTCACCTCCAACAGCTCACACAAGGCCAAAGTAACCTTACCTGCTCCACAATGTCACCTCCAACAGCTCACATAAGGCCAAAGTAACCTTACCTGTTCCACAATGTCACCTCCAACTGCTCGCACGAGGTCAAAGTAACCTTACCTGCTCCACAATGTCACCTCCAACAGCTCGCACAAGGCCAAAGTAACCTTACCTGCTCCACAATGTCACCTCCAACAGCTCACACAAGGCCAAAGTAACCTTACCTGCTCCACAATGTCACCTCCAACAGCTCGCACGAGGTCAAAGTAACCTTACCTGCTCCACAATGTCACCTCCAACAGCTCACACAAGGCCAAAGTAACCTTACCTGCTCCACAATGTCACCTCCAACAGCTCGCACGAGGTCAAAGTAACCTTACCTGCTCCACAATGTCACCTCCAACAGCTCACACAAGGCCAAAGTAACCTTACCTGCTCCACAATGTCACCTCCAACAGCTCACACAAGGTCAAAGTAACCTTACCTGTTCCACAATGTCACCTCCAAATGCTCGCACAAGGTCAAAGTAACCTTACCTGCTCCACAATGTCACCTCCAACAGCTCACACAAGGCCAAAGTAACCTTACCTGCTCCACAATGTCACCTCCAACAGCTCGCACGAGGTCAAAGTAACCTTACCTGCTCCACAATGTCACCTCCAACTGCTCGCACGAGGTCAAAGAAATCTGAAGAGTGATAATGGCCATCCACTGGGAGCCAGAAGCTGATATCATTGCTGCACTGCATGAATTTACTCACAGTCTGCAAACATGAGCATGTATTAAAGGTAAATTAGCACAGGTTGGTTAAGCTTTTACATGTCTACTTATCTATCTACATCTGCAGCTTGCGTTTACCTACACTTTAACCAATAGTTAGCAACCTTTCACTTGGGTATGGACCAAATCATCACTAGATGTACCACTTATGTATACACTTATGTATACACTTATGTACCACTTATGAACCACTTATGAACATGAACAGAAAAAAATAAATATAACATATGTAAACAAAAAGTTGAAAAATTCAAAAATTTCAAATTAATAAACTAATTTAAAATTTCACACATTTTTTATTTTATTGATTATAGGCTCAAAATGGCATATAATGTTCATTTTCATTTCATTAAAATCTTGTTTGAGAGTATAGTTAACTGTAAAAAAAAAAAAGTTGAACGTAATGAAACGCCATTTTCTGGGCGAGTCCTGGAGGCTCCCTGGAGCTATCCAGGCTGATATGGATGTAATAGCTTTCTGGCATCAGTCAATGTGCATGCAGTTCTTGCCTACCGTGGACCACGAGCCAGAACCTGGCCCCCTCAGAGAGGCACGAGGAGCAATGGCCAATAGAAACCTCTATGTGGTTGGGAGCATTTTATGTCTGCCATCGATCGGGTCAGGCACCCAGAAAGGTAGGCGCCCCAAAACAAACCCTTATTCTGGTGAAAATATTGCTACTGAAATCTGAACGAGTGAACAGAACTCCCCAAATGAAAATTAGCAAACGAGCATGATGTCATCACGTTGCCGCACCGCTGTCTGCGCAACTTCCTGTCCCCGGGAGGGGGGAAGGGGAAGCCCCAGAACCTCACACCAGTGATCCACCCTTCAGTTCTTAAGCTAGATGTCATAACTCATGAAAAACACCGCCGACCGGAGGGAAGGAGGGATGCCGGGGGAGCATCCTGGACTCACAGAAAATGGCGTTTCATTACATTCAACGCTGGTCTTCTGGGGGGAGCTCCATTGGCTCCCCAGAGCTAACTAAGCAAAGACAAGAAAAAACAGGGACTTACCTGGGCGGCGGTCAGTCCTCACTTCTCAACGCGAAATCGAGATAACTGGCTGCAACTGCCGACCCAATGCAACGCAGGCCCTACTAGGTCCAAGGACACTGACCAGGTAGCGAGCAGCCAGGACCCAATTCGACTTCCAAAAACCCTGTGCCCGAATGTCAACCCAAGACATGTTGACAAGGATGGCTGTCAAGGCATCAAACTTACGAATGTCATAGGCACGAGGACAGACCGCAGGCTGGCTAGACTTGATAACCCTGCAGATGAACGAGGGGACCTGAGCCTGGGAACCGGGAAGAAGGAAAACTGGGTCAACCCAAAGCGCATCTCTGGCCACCGCAGCCATAGTGCGCAAATAACTGTGGAGAGCCGCAACCAGACACAATACATGATGCATCCCCGGCCTGACCAACCAAGCATCAACAACCCAAGGAACCCTCTGGAAAGCAGCAGACTCATTATACCCCAGAAAAGGAGATGGCTGCAACCAAACAAACCTACTACCAGGATCAAAAGAGCAGAAACCCCTGCACCGGAAAAGAGCATGAAGCGCCCCGTCCCGACCTCCAGAGGCCAAAGTCAATCGAAAAAAGAGCCTTAGAAAAACAATCCTGAACCAAAGGGGCCACAAAAAACCGAGGAGAGAAAACAGAGCACCAGGTCCAAAGACCAGGATGGCTCAGGCGGTGCATGAGCAGGCCAGAGATGAAACAATGCACGAGACAGCTTGCAGAACAGAGCAGACGTAACATCAATACTGAACACAAGCAAAGCGGCTTCGCCAGCGCTGCACAAAATGAGGAGACAGTATTCGGGATAAGATGATGGTCTTAAAACAACCACAAAAGGTTGAACAAAACAACCCTATCAGAGACCGAAGTACACCTACACAGTGATAGGAAAACCGGAAGGAAAGCCAGGAAACTTCATACTGCCGCCTAAATGAAGCACGCAGGTGGGAGACCAACTACGAAGAAACCTGCGCACAATAGAAGTGGTAATAAACTCGAATCAGAAACTCCAGACACAAAAACTCAAGGAAAAGAACGATCCAGCCTCATAACAGGCAGGACTGATCTGCTGAAAGAGGAGGAGCTGCAGGTAGACCCTCGGGTTCGGACACCAAGCAAGCAGCGCCTGAAACCAAGGCTGGGCCGGTCACCAAGGAGCCAGAAAGACAACTCTCCCCTGGTAAGTTTCCAAGTGAGCCAGGACCTGGAGCAACAGCTGAACTGGAGGGAAGAGGTACAGGTAACCTCACCTCGCCCAGTCCTACCTGAAGGCATCGACCCCCACTGCCTCGCAGTTGGGGAAGGGTGCCATGTATACCGGGAGATGCCTCGATCATGCTAACGCGAAGAGGTTCACCTCAGGAGGCCTGAATGTACGGCAGAGCGAAATGAATGACTCGGTGACAACCGTCCATTCCATGGAAAGGGGAAGGAAGTGGGACAGGCCGTCCGGTAGGATATTGGACACCCCCTGAACGTGAACTGCCAAGAGAGCCAAACCCCAAGAACTCAGCAGAGGAGTCACCCGAAAACAACTAGTCTCAAAGAGCCCAAAGAGCCAAGGACCGCATTGAACCACCGCGGTTCAGGCAATGATCCACCAGGAAACAGTCTGAATGGGCCAGATCCTTGATCCGCAAACGACCCAAATTCTCCAGAGTCCACTCAGCCGTGAACTCCTGCACTGTGCTGTGAGCCCGACGGAAGGACAGACTCCCACTGCCCCTTGGTGAGCACTGGTCAGAAAGCCCCAGCCAAGAGATGATGTGTCCATGAGCACATCGAGCGAGGGCTCGGGTAGGCGTCAAGGCACTGAACCCCCCAAAACCCGAAGAGGATGCTGGCGATGCAGCAACCCGTCTAGTAAACTGCAACTGGTCTAGTAAACCAGAGGCCGGGAGTTCGATCCTCCCTGGAGGCACTGTGGTATCCTAATTGTTTACTACACATAAGGGGCATAACTGGCCGACCCCTCACAGTGTTCAAGAGAGAACTGGATAAGCACCTCCAAAGGATACCTGATCAACCAGGCTGTGACTTGTACGTCAGGCTGCGAGCAGCCGCGTCCAACAGCCTGGTTGATCAGTCCGGCAACCAGGAGGCCTGGTCGACGACCGGGCCGCGGGGACGCTAAGCCCCGGAAGCACCTCAAGGTAACCTCAAGGTAACCCGACGCAAAACCCCCGGAGGCCGAACCCAGCGGTCGCGAGAGAGGCAGAAGGGACGCCCCAGAAGGAACCAGAACAGGCGACAAAGCCACATCCGACCTGGTGGGAAGACCATCATGGCAAAGTTCAGGCTCCCGCACAAACCCGAGAGCCCTTCAGGAACAGATGAAGGCGGGAACGCAGCCGAAGCAGAGCAGCCACTGGAAGAATAGACAAGGAAGTGGTTCAAGCGTCCCACACAAGACCCTGCCAAGACCGAACATGAGAGGGAACCAGATAGGACTTCCTCCAGCTTACCAGGAACCCGAAGAGCTGGGAAAGAACCAAATCCCTGGCGAGCAGACACGAGGACTGGCTGGGAGCCCACACCAGCTAGTCATCGAGGTAGGCCAGAACCCGAATACCTAATAAACGCAGGCGGGCCACCATGACCCAAGTAAGGCGTGTAAAAACGCGAGGCGCCAGATTCAACCCGAAGGGAAGACAATGAAAGCGGTAACTTCGATGCCCCACATCAAAACTGAGCCAGTCCCTGAACCACGGATGAACCGGGACGTGCCAATATGCGTCCTTGAGGTCCAGGGACACCAGCCAAGCCCCCAGCTCCAACAGAAGACGGACCTGAGACAAAGTAGTCATCCGAAAGGATGGGCAATAAACCCACAGATTCAGATGGGACAAGTCCCGAATGAACTGGAGGCCTGCGCAATGAAAACAGGCGGGAAACCCACTGGAAGAATGAGTTCGTTTCCATCGTGCCCAAGCGAACCCACTATTAACAGACGAAAGTATTATGCGATGCATACATTAGTGATGAAAATGAAGGAAAAGACCCATTAAGTTTTCACTGCATTATATGTAATGCAGTGAAATAAATCCAGAACTACCATGGATAATAAAGTGGAAAAAATTATGAGATAATAAAACCAGTGTTGAATGTGATGAAACGCCATTTTCTGGGTGAGTCCAGGAGGCTCCCTGGAGTTATCGGACTGATATATGCTGTATTAGTCTTGGGCACCAGTCACATGGGGTCCTTGCATACCAGGAACCACAAGCCAGAACCTGGTTCCCTCAGAGAGGCACGGTCTATGAAAACTGCACTTTATGAAAGTATACAGTATTTATGTCTGCCATCGACCAGGGAAGGCACCCAAAACCAACTGCAACTGGTAGAACATTGCAACCCAAGACCGAACAGAGTCCAAGAACTCCACTCAAGAAAAACAATGCAATAAGTAAAACATCATCAAACCGAGCCCCCCCCCCCCACAAACCCAAGCCGGCTTCTTGCCTACCAATTTGAACAAAACTTGGTAAACAAAAATAAAACCACCAACCGGAGGGAGGGAGGGTGCCAGGGAGTCTCCGAGGCTCACCCAGAAAATGGCGTTTTGTTATATTCAATGCTGGTTTTCTGAAGGAAGCCCTTGTCTGCTCCTTAGAGCTAGATATCCACAAATAAGTAAAACAGAGACTTACCCAAAAAGCATTCGCACTGTGTCCCTCAAGACGAAGCCGAGAGAGCTGGCTGCAACAGGCGCCCCAGAGCCACACAAGGTTGTTGAGGATCAGAACATTAACCAAATAACGGGCGGACAGAACCCAGATCGAAAGCCAAAACCTCCGTGCCCGAATGTCAACCCAAGACATGTTACCAAAGACTTCAGCGAGAACTGCAAACTTCCGAACATCATGGGCACGAGGATAAGACTGCAGGCTGGCTAGACGTAATAACCCAGCGGACAACCTGAGAGACCCGAGCCCTGAAACAGGGAATGAGGG